CCCGACGGCTGCGATGCCAGCTCTGCGTGGGGCTCTGGAGAGCAGCTGCTGTCAGCTGGGAGCAAGGGACAGCCCACCATCGCTGCTCTGGGCCGGCTCGGTCACTCGTCAGTCACTGCTGCTGTCCTCGCTGTCCGAATACGCCCCCAACAAGCCGAGGGAGGACGTCGTGCCCGTTGCTGTGGGAAACGAGCCTGGAAGCCGAGCAAGAGAGCAGACACCATCAGGTACAGCCCTCCCCATTGCTGGCAAACCCCGCCGGCTCAGTGCAACCAGCCGCGCGGAAACACAAGCCCGCTTCGGCTGCTCGCAGCTGGAGATGAGGCACTCGGAGTGAGAGCTCGAGCGGTGCCTCATCCCGCCTTGGCCTGAACCTCAATGAGGATGGCAACGTTAAATCGGGTGGCCAAAGAGACCTCGCACCCCCTCGGCTGGAGCCTCCTGCTTCCGCCTTGCGGCACGGGAGGAAGCAGCAAGGTTGGCCCAAGGTCTGCAAAAGCCCCTTCTAACTCCGCAACCCCCTGAGAGATTTCAGCCACTGGAAAGGAAGAGAGGAGCCAGCTCTGACCGTGCGAGCTGCCAGCTGCAAGCGTGAGGCAGCGTCACGGGCTGAGGGCCCGGAGTCCTTGGAAGACAGGCAGCTCCTCCAGTGTAATTTGGCTGAATAGACCCTGCCAGGAGCAGGTGGCTGGGGAAAGCCCATAAAAAATGGGGCAACTACAAGAGCTGTCCTTCCCCAGGGATCCCCTGAGGGCACAGGGACTTACTAAGCCCAGAATCAATCAATTCATTGGCTCCTTCCCCAAATCCTGGGTTCCTGGGGCAGTGAACGAGGTGCTGGAAAGCCTTTCTGCTTGTTTTCACCACTTTAAAGCTCCCAAACTCCAACAGTTTGGCAGGTTTTTATAATCAGGCCCCAAACCAAAGCAATTTTCTTGCTTTTACATTCGTATCTCGCTGTTGTGACGGTTCCCAGCATCGTATCTGTGCACTAAGATGCTGTTTTGAAGCTTCTGGCCCTGGCAGTCTGTCTCCAAGGCCTTGGCTTACTGCCAAGGGCCAGGAAGGAACTTCTCCATCAGGACATCTCCTGGAAACAGGGATAACCCCCTGTTCTTACACCATCACAGCCTCATCTGTCCCACAACAAGGACTTGACCTGAGAGCGTTCAGGCTCCGAAGACAGAGTTAAACCTCACTTGGGTGCTGCCAGACCCCTCCCTGATGGCCCAGCTCAGGTCACCCCATCCCCACATCGGCAGTTACCGGTGTTGGTCGTGGTGCCTTGGTTCTCTGTCCCATTAGCCAGGGCAGAACCTGGTTTCTGCTTCCTCACTGTGACCAGGCCGGCCAGCTGCGGTTTCGTGTTCAATTTGCCCACACTCCGCTCCCAGCTCTCAGCCTTCAACTTCTTACTCTGGGGCTGAGGGTCCTGTGGAGTAGAGCAAGGGGTGTTAGGGTGCTCTGACCTTGCAGAGGAGGCAGAGGGATGGGGGAGAAGGAGGAGAGGTAAAAACAGCAGCACAAAGAGTAAGAGACATGAGGATAGCTGCTCAGAGAAGCCAAGGTGGGTATTCTCCCCCTGCAGCAACTGGCACAAGCTAGACAAACAACAGGGATACGGATCTAAACGGCTGCAAAACCACGCTTGGAGACAAATGTCCCACTCCCTGTGACAGTTAAATCCAGCCTTGCATGGCTGCAGGCTATCCCTGGGACGTGGAGGGGACAGATGCGTGCCACAGGGCTGCACAACCTCTGCCAGCCAGGACCGCGTGCCTGCAGGTGGCCCAACCACTGAATGAAACTCCCCCAGGCACAAGGATTAGTGCCGGGCCAGGGAACATTGCTCAGATTAACCCCAGCCCAGCTTAGAGACACGGCAGCTTTGATTCATCCAACCGGACGGAGGTCCCCACAGACACGGATCGACATCGGAGAGCAGCAGTGCAGGGGCCTGTTTGTGGGGATAATCCCTTGCAAGCCGGGCACTGAAAGCTCTTTTGTTCTGCCTGTCTCCAACATGGACAAAACGCAACCAAAGGAGAGGCTGTCCCAGGCAGTTGTTTCATTGCTCTAATTTTCAGAGCACTGAAATCATGCCTGAAGTATGACCAAGGCATAGGCAAGCCCATCATTTTTGAGCTGAAAGCGAAGCCACATCCTGAGTGAGGACAGGGGCAGCTCCCTCCCAGCCTTTGTCAGCAGATGCGGTCTAAAAATCACCAACTGATCCCTGTCTCCTTTCAGCTCAGTGCACAGGGACACAGGCTTTCTAAGCTGCTCATGCGTGACGGGCATTAGGGCTCCAGCAACGCACAGAGCAGGGATAAAACAGGCAACACACAGCCCAGGACAGTGGACTTGGTCTAGGGGAAGAGGTGCGGTGGGTGCAAGAGCCTATGCCCTACTCACTTCCTGCAAGATGTCCGTAGGTTTCATTTTCGCCACAGGCTTCGTACGTGATTTTGCAGGCTCTTCGTCAGAGTCGGAGTCTACCAGCAGCCGTCGGTTCTGGGCCTGCTCCAGCATAGCTCTGCAAGGAGAGAGGCCGCACACAGAGCGTTAGAGCTGGCTCCGTTCCGCCACCATACTGAGTGGTGCCGGCTGTGCACCGTGCCTGCGCTGTCTGCTGTAAGGGGAGCTGGAATTCAGCAGCAGTGCAATGGGATCCTCTTTCTCGGGTGTTTTTTAGGAAGTCACGCTCAAGCAGTGCCCAAAGGTTGGCAGCACTGAGATCTGCAGCCTCAGTCAGGTGCAAAAAATTTCTCTCCACGTGAGGACACTTCTCAGGGGGAGCCAGGCCCCTACAGCAGCCCAGACCTCCCCACCAGATGGGCCAGTAACACCAAAACCTCTCCACCTCCCTAAACACTTTGCCATGATAAACTGTCCCCAATCTCCTCACAGCCCACTCAGGATTACATCCCACCCACACAACTCCTGTGGACTCAGGCCCTTCAGGCAGGGCCCTCTCTTAAGCGCTCTCGGGGTGCTGAGAAAAGTGTGAGATGCAGCCCTGCCTGGCCAGGGCCAGCGTGGCTGCTTTCACATGTCCATAAATGCTTCCAGCCCACTCACTTCATCTCTTGCTCATCCTCCTCTTGCTCCTTCCGCTTCTGCTCCTCCTCGTACTCCTTGTACTGCTTCAGCATGGCCTCAAAGTCCACATTTGCCTGGCGCTGGTTGAGTTCCTTCAGCTCCTGCAGGTTCTCCAGAACCTCCATCTCCAGCTTGGAGTCCTTGGTTCGGTTCTCCAGGACCTGGATGACCAGACGTAAGTGAGGCTTATGCAAGCTAGCAGAGCCTGCCAGCAATCTCCAGCACTGCCTCCCCACCCAGTACGGGGCAGGAAGCACTAAGAGGATCATCATCATCTTCATTTTTGGGTCTTAATAGGACAGGTAAAAGTGGGGCAAGATGCAGCCTGTCACCAGTTCCAGCACAGGAGGAAACCTCCTGAGAGCAGAGAGTTGTCTCCTGCTGTCCAGAGCACAGCAATATCTCAGGAGCCTGAAGAACTAAGCCAACGGCTTACAAAGTCACCTGCTTCGCTGGGGAAAGCCAGCCAGGGCAGGAGAAAGGTTTGCCTTTTGCAGAGAAGGTCACATTCTCGTACCTTCATGGGATTGTTGAGCTCTTCCTCTTCCCTCTCCTTCTGCATTCTTTTCTCCTCTTCCTCCAAGAGCTTCTCAGCTTGGAAGTTGCGAGTGGCGCCATGCTCCATGGTGTAGTCTGTGTTCTCAGGATCTGTCTAAGGAAGAAACAAGACAGCAAAATCATTGTACTGGGGTGATTCTGCTCCAGCCATCCAGTGGCCACTTCCAGAGCCGCAAACAAACATTTCCCAATTTCATTCACATCAAAGGGCAGACAATCACCCACAGTCTTCTGTTCTGCTCCAGTTAACATGCTGCTGCAGCCCACCCATGGATGGGCAAGACTCTTCTGAACTACAAACTGCCACAATAAGGGAAGATACACCAAAAAGCACATGCTGAGACTCAGCCTTTGCTGGGACACCCCTTTCCCATCGGGTCAGCACCCAGTAACATCCACAGACTGCACAATCTCTCCAAAAAGTGAGAGTACAGAAAATACAGAACATATTTCACCTTGAAAGTGATTTCTGCCAGGCAACGCGTGCACTTGATGTAGAAGCGGAAGATGGGAAGCCCCAGGTACACCTCATTCTGAACAGTCTCCTTACGGGCATTAAACTTCTTCCCCTTATAGATGTATTCACCACATGTCTTGCACCTAGAAAAGGAGAAAGAAAAGTCAATTTTTGGGCTGTGTCAGCCTAGGTTCTGAGCAACAGTTATTTTCTCCTTTGGAAATTCAGTGCCTACTCTGCTAACTACCCCAAGATCACCCACAGCATCTCTTCCCTCTCCCTCACCCTTTTCTTCTGGTCTGTGTCACCTCTAATGGCTGCTGGCAGCAGCTCCCCTGCAGCATATAGAGGCGAAACAATTCCTAAGCAAACCCTTCTCTTCTACAGCTGCTTCCTTCTAACCAGTAGAGCCCCTCTTACCGCATGTTGAAGGGGGCCATGAGCCGCACCACATACTGTCGGTCCTTTGGGAGTTTGAGCTTTGGGATCTTAGCAGGATCAAAGTCCGGCGGGTAGTATTTCTACAGAAACAGAGCAGAGACGTGTGTGTGCAGAGCGCAGAATCACCCAGAAGAGCGTGAACCATGGCAGGCAGGCTCCCAGCTGCCATATCAATCT